CTTGTCTTTAAAAGTTTTGGTTCAATATACTTACCTGTGTTGATCAAAAATAGCCTTAAACCTATACACTTTTTTTTTTTAGTTAGTAACTTTCAGGAGGGTGTACTCATTTTTGCAACATAAAATTGTACCACTTTGATAAGAAAATCCTATTTTGCTGAATAATTTTGGCATTCTTCTTTGGTAATTGATCAAGCAGGCTTGTTGGAACATTACATCTCCAAAGAACCCTAACATGTCTTCTAAGTAAAGGGTAATTGCTGAATTTGTTACGTTTTAGTACTCATTTACTCATTTATGCTGTGCACTATATATATATATATATATATATATATATATATATATATATATATATATATATACAACACACACACACATACAGTATATATTTTGAAATATTTACATGAATTTACACAGTACACACATATATATTATGTAAACAAAAACTTTTATTTTGGATGCGATTAATCGCGATTAATCGTTTGACAGCACTTAACTGACAATTAGTTTAATAACCTAAAATTGATATATAAAATCTAAATATAAAATAAAATAAAATTCTAAATATTAATAAATACTAATACATTTTTGTTAATTGAAATTGAGCTGACATAAAATATAAGTATTAAATAAAAAAAACTAGAATTACGTTAAAATTAAAAATGTTTCCCTAGCGAGTAACCAAAATAAAATAAGTACTAAAATGATTTAAACTGTAAAATAAAAACTACTACTACTGACTACAGCTTAGACTAAAATAAAATGAAAACTGAAATTCTAAAATAATAAGCTATTTCAAAATATTAAATACTGTAATAGTATATAAATAAAGACTAAACAGACCAATAGTGATCACAGTTACTGAACACATTATTGTATAGTATTGGATACTTCTTGCTGCACATACTAGTGATGGGGTGAATTGAGCAAAAAAAAATGATTAGAAATATTTTTGTATGTACACCTTTATTATTATTTATTTGTAAAAAAAAAAATTTTGATTTTGTTCCTTGTATTTTTGTTTTGGTCACTTATAGGTGCTGTAAGCGATGTTAGATGTTCTGGAACTTTCACCAGACTTATGCATCCTTTTTCTACAACCCATATTCTACAACTCATTTCTGTACATAGAGATACAGAATAGAACAGGAGAGCAGTATAGAATCTCCTATAGAACAGGAGAGCAGCAGCATGTCATCTCAGTGTTGTTAAAATGGGTTAAAAAGTAGCAAAATAGCACTCCGAACAAACAAAATGAAAATTGAATTTGATTCTGTAATTGTGGACCCAGCCCTCAAATGTAACTGTATACGGAGCTGTGAAATCGACCCGGTTTCTCAGGAGGTTTTCTGCCTTTATAAGTCTGCAATCTCAGCACTTTGTTTGTCTCTCTTTCAGGAGGTGGAGAATTTGTTTGTGGTCCTCTCTGCGCTGCTGCACTTGGGAGATGTGCGCTTCACCGCCCTGACAGATGCTGACACTGCGTTTGTGTCTGACTTACAGCTGCTAGATAGAGGTCAGTCGTGCAGCTGCACCACGAGGCCAGCAGGGGCCGATCTGCTCCACCGGGAGGCCTGAAGGATAGATTGGGAAAGTGGGCGGGTGACTACGCAACAAGAACTGTGTCACACACCATCCTGGGTTGTTTACATCAGTTCTACCGTGGCCTAATAGCAGACTCACTCACGCAATGGAAAACGCTCTCTGCCACTCTAATAAACACACATACACACTCTGTCTTACAATTTTGTACTAATCGCCCTTTTTTAGCCACACGCATGGACAGGGTCACCTGTTTCCTTAAGCCCTGCAGAGTAGCAGGGCGGAACAGAACGGCCACTCACGACACACATAATACTGAGCCTGGGTAAACAAGTGACGTCAGCATGCGCAAATACACAAACCGATACATTCACATCCGTATGAGGTTCCAGTCGTTGTGGATACGTGAGATCACATATAAACAAGCCCTATTATACTCTAATGGGTACACTCCACCCAAACACACTCATTCACAGAAATGACAGGACACTAGGTGCCGAATGCAAACAGTAATATAAGTGCATAATAGGAAGTAAATGGGAGGCCTGGAGTTGAAAGCTGGACCGTGTACGTGTTACAGCATGTTATGTTGACTCTGACATCTGATTGGATGAGCCACGTTCAAAGCCTTTGGTCAGTGTGCCGTTTGCACATGCGATATTTGTGATTGTAATTATTTATAAGTATATATATATATATATATATATATATATATATATATATACAACACACACACACATACAGTATATATTTTGAAATATTTACATGAATTTACACAGTACACACATATATATTATGTAAACAAAAACTTTTATTTTGGATGCGATTAATCGCGATTAATCGTTTGACAGCACTTAACTGACAATTAGTTTAATAACCTAAAATTGATATATAAAATCTAAATATAAAATAAAATAAAATTCTAAATATTAATAAATACTAATACATTTTTGTTAATTGAAATTGAGCTGACATAAAATATAAGTATTAAATAAAAAAAACTAGAATTACGTTAAAATTAAAAATGTTTCCCTAGCGAGTAACCAAAATAAAATAAGTACTAAAATGATTTAAACTGTAAAATAAAAACTACTACTACTGACTACAGCTTAGACTAAAATAAAATGAAAACTGAAATTCTAAAATAATAAGCTATTTCAAAATATTAAATACTGTAATAGTATATAAATAAAGACTAAACAGACCAATAGTGATCACAGTTACTGAACACATTATTGTATAGTATTGGATACTTCTTGCTGCACATACTAGTGATGGGGTGAATTGAGCAAAAAAAAAATGATTAGAAATATTTTTGTATGTACACCTTTATTATTATTTATTTGTAAAAAAAAAAATGTTGATTTTGTTCCTTGTATTTTTGTTTTGGTCACTTATAGGTGCTGTAAGCGATGTTAGATGTTCTGGAACTTTCACCAGACTTATGCATCCTTTTTCTACAACCCATATTCTACAACTCATTTCTGTACATAGAGATACAGAATAGAACAGGAGAGCAGTATAGAATCTCCTATAGAACAGGAGAGCAGCAGCATGTCATCTCAGTGTTGTTAAAATGGGTTAAAAAGTAGCAAAATAGCACTCCGAACAAACAAAATGAAAATTGAATTTGATTCTGTAATTGTGGACCCAGCCCTCAAATGTAACTGTATACGGAGCTGTGAAATCGACCCGGTTTCTCAGGAGGTTTTCTGCCTTTATAAGTCTGCAATCTCAGCACTTTGTTTGTCTCTCTTTCAGGAGGTGGAGAATTTGTTTGTGGTCCTCTCTGCGCTGCTGCACTTGGGAGATGTGCGCTTCACCGCCCTGACAGATGCTGACACTGCGTTTGTGTCTGACTTACAGCTGCTAGATAGAGGTCAGTCGTGCAGCTGCACCACGAGGCCAGCAGGGGCCGATCTGCTCCACCGGGAGGCCTGAAGGATAGATTGGGAAAGTGGGCGGGTGACTACGCAACAAGAACTGTGTCACACACCATCCTGGGTTGTTTACATCAGTTCTACCGTGGCCTAATAGCAGACTCACTCACGCAATGGAAAACGCTCTCTGCCACTCTAATAAACACACATACACACTCTGTCTTACAATTTTGTACTAATCGCCCTTTTTTAGCCACACGCATGGACAGGGTCACCTGTTTCCTTAAGCCCTGCAGAGTAGCAGGGCGGAACAGAATGGCCACTCACGACACACATAATACTGAGCCTGGGTAAACAAGTGACGTCAGCATGCGCAAATACACAAACCGATACATTCACATCCGTATGAGGTTCCAGTCGTTGTGGATACGTGAGATCACATATAAACAAGCCCTATTATACTCTAATGGGTACACTCCACCCAAACACACTCATTCACAGAAATGACAGGACACTAGGTGCCGAATGCAAACAGTAATATAAGTGCATAATAGGAAGTAAATGGGAGGCCTGGAGTTGAAAGCTGGACCGTGTACGTGTTACAGCATGTTATGTTGACTCTGACATCTGATTGGATGAGCCACGTTCAAAGCCTTTGGTCAGTGTGCCGTTTGCACATGCGATATTTGTGATTGTAATTATTTATAAGAATTAATATACAGCACCATAAAAATATTTGGGGTCTTTTTTTTTTGAAAGAAGTCTCTTATGGTCACCTAGGCTGAATTTATTTGATCCAAAATACAGTGAAAACAGTAATATTGTATAATATTACAAATTAAAATAACTGTTTTCTGTTTGAATATATTGTAAAATGTAATTTATTCCTGTAATGTAAAGCTGACTTTTCAGGAGCCATGACTCTGTTCAAGAAACATTTATTATTATTTTATTTTGTTGTTATGTGTTATTATTGTTTTTATTATTATCTTATATTATTATATGCTGAAAACAGTTGTTATGCTTAATATTTTTGTGGAAACAGTGATTATATTTTACAAAATTACTGATTTTTTTTTTCAATGGTAGTGTAATAATTGTAAATAATTAAAAATACAAATTAAAATATAATTTATTATAATATAATTTAATTAAAATAAGAGGCAAGAAATTGCTGTGATGTGGATGCAATGCCTGTCATAAATTAAAACCATACGATAAAGGTAAATAATTTCTGTTGGATTCAGTGCATAATTCAGATTTTTCACAAAATTCACAAAAGGCACATTGTATATGCCCCCCCCCCTCCAAAATGGCACACCAGACGGGTGCTTCTGAACTGATTTTTATTTAAATAAGTGCAATATTTTTATTAAATTTTTTAATGAATTCAAATGTGGCTAATCCAGTCAGAATTTAGATTTGTAACTGGTTGTAATCATATAAATGTGTCTGAATTATTATAATTTTTTTTTCTGTAGTGGCTGGGATGTTGCAGGTGAGCTCTGAGGATCTCGGCTCTGCCCTCACCTCTGATGTGCAGTGTTTCAAAGGTACAACCTTCAGTTTGCACGTATGTCACGTATCAGCATCAATCAACACACAGACTAATCGCTGTCAATTAAAGTCATCTTGTTTACCATAACACCGTACATGGAGTAAATCTCACTGCCGGGAGGCCTGCTGACACCGATCATTGAGATGTACTGGCCTTTGTCCAGTCACAAACTCATCAATGAAAGCGGCCTCAAGCGTTCGGCCTTAGATCGTGTTACTGGCGAGCACAATTTGGCTCAATTTGACTCAATTGGATAACTGCCTTCTCATTCAAAATACACAGACATAAACACGCAGGTCTTTTGCAAAGTCTAGACTGTGTGCATGTTGTGCCATTATATAACAAGTGTAGAGTGTGTATGAATCCCATGATGTCTGGATGTTAATCTAATTCAGCTGTCGAGGACACGCCGACCTATTGCCGAAAATTACAAGCACACTTGGCATTGTCTTGTGTCTGTCTGTGATTTCTCTCTCTCTCCGTCTCCTTCGCTTTGTCATGCATCCATGCCTCTCTTTTAAAGGGATAGTTCACCCAAAAAAACTAAACGGTGTCATCATTTACTCTCCAAAAAAATGTCAGAAAATACACTGAAGTAATATAAAACTGGTCCATATCACTTGTGCACTATTTCCCAAGTCTTCTGAATCTACAAAATACACAGACATAAACACGCAGGTCTTTTGCAAAGTCTAGACTGTGTGCATGTTGTGCCATTATATAACAAGTGTAGAGTGTGTATGAATCCCATGATGTCTGGATGTTAATCTAATTCAGCTGTCGAGGACACGCCGACCTATTGCCGAAAATTACAAGCACACTTGGCATTGTCTTGTGTCTGTCTGTGATTTCTCTCTCTCTCCGTCTCCTTCGCTTTGTCATGCATCCATGCCTCTCTTTTAAAGGGATAGTTCACCCAAAAAAAACTAAATGGTGTCATCATTTACTCTCCAAAAAAATGTCAGAAAATACACTGAAGTAATATAAAACTGGTCCATATCACTTGTGCACTATTTCCCAAGTCTTCTGAATCTATATGTTAGCTTTGAATGATGAAAATATCAATATTCCAATGCTCTTATTATCTTAAAATCTGAAAATAAGTCCCATTTCCATTCAAATCTTTTTAGTGAATTGATTGGTTTAATTTGTAAAAATGGTCTGAATGATTGGTTCTTAAATATTCGTGATCTGGTTTATGACTCAATGATCTGAAGGGAAGAATATCAGTGGATAAAATGTAAATTTTGCTTTTATCATACTTTAATAGTGCTTGGTGAGCTTTCTGAAACTTGAAAACGTGAACCCTTTCAGAATTTTAAGGAAAAGAGCAAGCAGTATGTTCTTATGGAAGCCCGTTTCCGCCACTGAATAAAAAATAAAACAAGGTAATTGCGACTTTTTATCTCACAATTCTGACTTTTTTTCTTGGAATTGCGAGTTCATATCTTACAATTCTGACTTTAACACACAATTGCGAGTTATAAAGTCAAAATCCCATGATATAAACTTGCAATTGCGAGTTATAAAGTCAAAATTGCCAGTTATAAAGTTAGAATTGTGAGATATAAAGTCGCAATTCTGAGTTTTTTTTCTCGCTATTGAGTTTATATCTCGCAATTCTGACTTTCTTTTTTTCTCACAATTGCGAGATATGAACTCGACTTATTTTCTCAGAATTGCGCGTTTATAACTTTTATAACTCTATATAATTTTGACTTTTTAACTCTCAATTGCGTGCTATAAAGTCAGAATTGCGAAAACTGGTCCATATCACTTGTGCACTATTTCCCAAGTCTTCTGAATCTACATGTTAGCTTTGAATGATGAAAATATCAATATTCCAATGCTCTTATTATCTTAAAATCTGAAAATAAGTCCCATTTCCATTCAAATCTTTTTAGTGAATTGATTGGTTTAATTTGTAAAAATGGTCTGAATGATTGGTTCTTAAATATTCGTGATCTGGTTTATGACTCAATGATCTGAAGGGAAGAATATTAGTGGATAAAATGTAAATTTTGCTTTAATAGTGCTTGGTGAGCTTTCTGAAACTTGAAAACGTGAACCCTTTCAGAATTTTAAGGAAAAGAGCAAGCAGTATGTTCTTATGGAAGCCCGTTTCCGCCACTGAATAAAAAATAAAACAAGGTAATTGCGACTTTTTATCTCACAATTCTGACTTTTTTTCTTGGAATTGCGAGTTCATATCTTACAATTCTGACTTTAACACACAATTGCGAGTTATAAAGTCAAAATCCCATGATATAAACTTGCAATTGCGAGTTATAAAGTCAAAATTGCCAGTTATAAAGTTAGAATTGTGAGATATAAAGTCGCAATTCTGAGTTTTTTTTTCTCGCTATTGACACATTAAAAGCGTCAAAGCCACATTTAGTGTTTGAACTTTGTGATAAAATGGACAGAGTTTGAGAGCTGAGACTTTTTGTTTCGGAAGTTCGGAAGATATAGGGTACCAACTTGTAAGTTAAATAGGTATAAATTCTCGTTAATTCCATTATCAGTTGTTTTATTGAATAATAGGAAATAGGGTTTGTAGGAAATGTGTGGATACTGTGAAATGTATTTTGTGCATGTAAGTGGAATATTAATGTTGTTTATTTATTTATTTTGTGTAACTTTGTAAGTTAATCTGCTCTCTTGATTGCTCAAGCCAAATTTCTCCTTATGGAGACGATGAAGACAGAAATTAAATGAATGAAGTTTGGTGAATAGATAAACCTTAGACCTGGCAACCCTGACTTGAACTTTGTGTGATTCATAGTGTCAAAGAAAACCTACATTAGCGGAGCTATTTTTTCTTTTTTTTTGTTTTTTTTTTAAGTGACGTGCTAATTTAATACCACTCAATTCTACACATTGAGTTTATATCTCGCAATTCTGACTTTCTTTTTTTCTCACAATTGCGAGATATGAACTCGACTTATTTTCTCAGAATTGCGCGTTTATAACTTTTATAACTCTATATAATTTTGACTTTTTAACTCTCAATTGCGTGCTATAAAGTCAGAATTGCGAGTTTATATCACACAATTCTGAGAATTGTGAGATAAAAAGTCACAATTACCTGGTTTTATTTTTTATTTTTGTGGCGGAAACGGGCTTCCATATGTTCTTTCTTCAAGGGAACACAAAAGAAGTAATTTCAAGTAAGTCAGACAGCTTTGGGAAGACATGAAGGAGAATAAATGTTGTTAAAATTTTTGGATGAACTAGTCTAGTGATGATTTGTTGTTTTGGTTATTGTATTTCATAAACAAGTAAACAATTCAGAAAGAAATGGCATCCTTACAATGCCACACGTGTTTAGTAGTGTAATATATGCAGAGGATGAATTCAACTCTAATATGCGACAATCACAGGGCACTGATCGACGGTCAGACTTTGGCAGTGTGTGCATCTGGATGTTGAATGGCATAGCGAATGTGGTGATTCAGTGTCTGACATAATCAAAGGTCACATCATTGGAGTCCTCCGCATTAGCATGTGCCGTGTCCCTTCAGCCAGCACCACCAACAATGGGCCGCTTGTTTTTCAGCCTCCCACGTGCGGCGTATATCAGTCAAAATGTGACACACTGTCTCCAGTTTGTTTTCCTCTTTGCTCTGTGCCCCTGTTGTTTTGAGCCGTCACTGGTTGTTTGGATGTTTTTTACTGAAAGGATTTAGTTGCTGATCCTGCTATGGTTCCTGGTTAATGCTGGTTCGGTGACGGTTTATTGATGGGACAGCAAAACAACCAGCATGGTTGACCTTGCTAGATAAAGTAATAATTTACCGCAAAAATGAAAATGCTCAACTTCTTCTGATGGAATCAAACTTGTATGACTTACTTTCATCTCTGGAACACAAAGTTCTTTAGGAGAGTATTCATTCTGCTCTTCCCATATCCCAAAATGGATTGTGACCATGGCTGCTGAGCTTTAACAATTCTAAAGTTATGATATACCATTAGAGTAATCAAACAAATAGACAGACACATACATGTATACTAGGGATGCAATGATACTACATTTCTCTGCTGGTACTGATTCGATTCGATATTGATTAATCAGACATCTGCTGATAGGGATAGTAAATCTCTCTATTAATGCTATAAACTATACATAGTATATTACTATAATATTAGAGGTTCAAATTAACAACAAAGCTCAAACTATTATACTCCGCTGTTATTTTCAGATATGATAATCAGACTGAAATAAAAACCGACATGGTTGTATTCAGCTCAAGGTAATTTTCATAAAAACCTGTCTTCATGTCAGATGTATTCAAACATGCATGTATAACTAACAGTAAACAAGCTTTCTTCTAGTGTTATTTTAGCTATCTAGCAAACTGTGAACACTGAAAATAACTTTCCTGAGGTAAACGTGACGTTGTTCACATGCTCTCTTACTGACACGTTTTATCAGTGCTGCCACTTAAATTACATCGATCTATCAAACCACATTAAAAGCGTCAAAGCCACATTTAGTGTTTGAACTTTGTGATAAAATGGACAGAGTTTGAGAGCTGAGACTTTTTGTTTCGGAAGTTCGGAAGATATAGGGTACCAACTTGTAAGTTAAATAGGTATAAATTCTCGTTAATTCCATTATCAGTTGTTTTATTGAATAATAGGAAATAGGGTTTGTAGGAAATGTGTGGATACTGTGAAATGTATTTTGTGCATGTAAGTGGAATATTAATGTTGTTTATTTATTTATTTTGTGTAACTTTGTAAGTTAATCTGCTCTCTTGACTGCTCAAGCCAAATTTCTCCTTATGGAGACGATGAAGACAGAAATTAAATGAATGAAGTTTGGTGAATAGATAAACCTTAGACCTGGCAACCCTGACTTGAACTTTGTGTGATTCATAGTGTCAAAGAAAACCTACATTAGCGGAGCTATTTTTTCTTTTTTTTTGTTTTTTTTTTAAGTGACGTGCTAATTTAATACCACTCAATTCTACACAAGAAACATTTTCTTTACACACAGTACGCCCCCTTTTGATAGACAGGATATGCCACTGTCATCTATTTACAAAAGGTAAAAGGTCTGATGTGTGATCAATAACTGGCCAAAGCAGGCTTGACCTGTTGTGTCCTGGTCAGCAGTTCAGTGCAATAGGCTAATGTTTATTGATGTGTATATGAGAATGTTTATTATGGGTCTTTGAGGGCATGATCATTTCCACCAGGATGGTCACACCAGCACACACTATTATAAAATACAGTCGCTTATTGTGACTTAAAACTGAGCTTTGGTATGTATTTTGTGTAGCTGTCTGTCATAATTTTGTTTACAAATAATGTGTATTTTTCACTATGAATCGTTTAAGGTGAAATTATCAAAAAATTGTTTATTTATTTTGACAGCTGGTCCATGTTAGAGAATGTTCTGACATGTCAGACAGCTTAAACACTTCCAGTGATGTCGGGTGTTACTGGTGTAGACAGAGTGTAACAGTAAATTAAGACAGAATTGTCTTGACATAACCTTTTGTTTCTTAGAAAAACCTGCATGTCATTTTTTTTTCTCTCTGCTTTTTACACTAGAAAACCTTGCACTTAAGCTATGGTTCAAGACATATATGGTTCTTGTCTGTTTTGACAGAGATCCTGCCTTTGAGATAAGCATCCTGGACATCTTTGGCTTCGAGGAATTCCAGCGCAATGGTTATGAACAGGTAAGGGGAGACAGCACAGATATAATGAGGACAATGATAATTACACTTTTAACATCTGATTGTGACCTTTTGAAAGGGTCTTTCCTACCATTGTAACGTCACACTGAGGCTAACATTCATAGCCCCTTTTCTAAGTGCAGACTATTCAGCTTTTCATGTGACTAAAGAACACCAACTGCTCTTCACCTTTTCATTGTGGATTGTGGGCCTCCTAAACCTGGTCTGGTCTGTACTAGGTTTGATGTGGATATGCCACGGAGCCAGAGACCAGTGGGAATCAAGGCATTGTGCTCATAATCCTGTTTCCCATACAGGGGAAAGCACTGACCTATTCCACAGTATGTTCCTGCCTAGGGCTATGACTTTTTTAGACTTAACGACACACGGGATGTTCTTCTGCTGGGTTTTGTTTTCACCACAAAGGCATTTCATTCTAAACGAGACAGGTGTTTTTTCTGACTCCGCTCATGCTGACTTTATAGCTCTGTTCCAAAACTGAGTGAGCTGGCTGTGTAGACTTTTTTAAGGCATCATAAATGTGCTTCCGATGTGTAGGCCGTTCTAAAACTTAGCCAGGAATGCATTGCATCAAACTCAAAAAATTCAAAGCAGCAGACAATAGAGTGCTGCCAGGTTGCCATAATTTTGTATGCCAATCCAGACGTTAGCATCACCCTGGTTTCCTCGACAATTACCCAATAGGATTTTTCCACTGACTTTTGGATAACTGCAGAAAAGAAGCTTTGTGACAAACAGAAGTCTTTCTAAAATGCGTTGATTTCTACGAAGCCCCTTCTTTCGGAAAGCTCATTGTGCTCTGATTGGCCAGCAGACCCAGTGCGTGGTGATTGGCCGAACATCTCAACCGTGTGTCGGAAATGTAACACCCCTTGACATAAACATATAAAGCAATTATAACGACAGTTAATAATGTAGTTGGTTTCACCATATCAGTTCGAGCCCGAGTCACATTCTGAAAATATAGATGACCAAGCCAGTCGATCCGAACCAACTTTGCAAGTGCGACTTGAGCAGAATGTATCAGAGTGTGGTAAGCTGCATTACCAATTTTTTTTTTCGTTTGAATTTTTATAGACTCTGTTTTAATGGTTAAATTAAATGTTATTATATCGGATCGATGTCTAATTAATTGAAATCATGAAACTTGCAATATTAAACAGCAGTGTATTTTTTACAAATTATTTTAAGGCCCTATGGAATGTTTTATTCTTCTATTTTTACTTTTATTATATTTATATTTTATTTTTTATCAAATTCTGTTTTCCATTAATTTTCTGGATTCCATTGTAATGGTTCCATTAAATATTAATAATCAAAAGCGTCTCTAATGAATTGATTTTAGAAAAAAAACTAATTTATTATTATTTTCTTTTTTTTCTTTTTTTTTCTTTTTTTTAAATTTACGGTGTTGTGTGTTTACATCTTTCTGTTACATAAATTCTGATAAATAATTTTTCTGGTAAATATTGCTTTAAATAATGTTTTAATAATTTTATCATTAGTAGTAGTACTAGCATTACATTTAAGTAATATTTCTGTTATGGTTTCTTCGAGTTAAACTGAACTTTTATTTTGACAGGTTGCTGTAAAGACCTTTAAGTTTCTGTTTGTATATTATATGACTATAGTTTTACTTAAAAGAATGGTACAATGCTCACAAGTGACTCTCAGAGCAGCTCTGGAGATATCTCAACCGTGTGTCGGAAATGTAACACCCCTTGACATAAACATATAAAGCAATTATAACGACAGTTAATAATGTAGTTGGTTTCACCATATCAGTTCGAGCCCGAGTCACATTCTGAAAATATAGATGACCAAGCCAGTCGATCCGAACCAACTTTGCAAGTGCGACTTGAGCAGAATGTATCAGAGTGTGGTAAGCTGCATTACCAATTTTTTTTTTCGTTTGAATTTTTATAGACTCTGTTTTAATGGTTAAATTAAATGTTATTATATCGGATCGATGTCTAATTAATTGAAATCATGAAACTTGCTATATTAAACAGCAGTGTATTTTTTACAAATTATTTTAAGGCCCTATGGAATGTTTTATTCTTCTATTTTTACTTTTATTATATTTATATTTTATTTTTTATCAAATTCTGTTTTCCATTAATTTTCTGGATTCCATTGTAATGGTTCCATTAAATATTAATAATCAAAAGCGTCTCTAATGAATTGATTTTAGAAAAAAAACTAATTTATTATTATTTTCTTTTTTTTCTTTTTTTTTCTTTTTTTTAGAAATACGGTGTTGTGTGTTTACATCTTTCTGTTACATAAATTCTGATAAATAATTTTTCTGGTAAATATTGCTTTAAATAATGTTTTAATAATTTTATCATTAGTAGTAGTACTAGCATTACATTTAAGTAATATTTCTGTTATGGTTTCTTCGAGTTAAACTGAACTTTTATTTTGACAGGTTGCTGTAAAGACCTTTAAGTTTCTGTTTGTATATTATATGACTATAGTTTTACTTAAAAGAATGGTACAATGCTCACAAGTGACTCTCAGAGCAGCTCTGGAGATTGTTCATGTACTCATATATTGAGGTGGCAGAGGCTGAAAACACCGCTTCAGTATGTGTGTAGTAAATGAAAACCACACATCTGCACCATTCATTCACACAGAGACAGGCAGATCATCCAGGATTCATATTTAAATGGTATTTTTGCGGCTTAATATTCACTTTCTATATCATGTTTTGATTTAAGTGGACTGACTGACTTTTAATTTATTCATCCAAAATGTGGCCAATTCCGTGACTTTTGTCTTTATACAGAACATTCTGTTTTCATGACTGGATTCCACGATTCCGTCCGCATTTTCCACATTGTGGAAATCATACATACTTGCAAGCTCTGATTCAGAAGTGCCAAATTGTCCTAGCAAAGTTGGCATGATGACATTTAACGTCCCATGGCATGGGTGGGATATTACTGATGTCGTAGAAATGTGAAAATATCTTGTTAACCAAATACCTTAGTTCAGTCATTTAACCCATTCAATATACCCATTTACTTCAGGACGATGGAACCAGAAATTCTAAAATTAGATCTGATTTACAGGTTTTAGGATGTATGTATACTGTCTTTAGATTATAAAAATGTCTCTGAGTAATAGTTTAAAACTGACTATTAAAACAGCTATTGTTAACTAACATATGAGTTTTCATTTAAATTGGGATACTGCCTTAGAAGACAGTTTCTAGGTTTTTGTACAAAGCTTATATGTTTGACTCTAGATACGTCCCAGAGAGGTCAGCTGAGGCTAAACTGGGTGACAATTCAACTTTGTTTGAGTTGTTGTGAAAGCATCAGTGCGTTCTTCACAGTAGCCTGGAGTAGCCTGGAGCCAGACCCAGACCCAGACGCATAGCTGGATGTGCCATATACATTATATACATTCATTTTTCCCCCCAAAGTCTGAAGAGCAGCATGAAGTAAAGCAGCTGCTGTCGAGACCCCGAGTTGTGTTATTTTAGTGCTTTCGAGAGAGACAAATGTCCGTCTGAAGGCTAAGACGCCACATGTACTGCCGCCCCCTGCCCAGAATCCTCAGTAGCCACATCTACTGTGCGAGCTGTGTTTTTGTACAGGACAAGATGAGGTTGACGGGTTGGGTTGGGGGGGTTCTCCTCAGATGAACCCTTGGCACCAGACACAAAGGAGACTCTGTGCAGAGTCGGGTTTGACACATGAACCATTGGCCTGGATTTGGCACCAACCATTGTCATTGTTGTCATAGACTCTATAGGGAGGATGCATAAGGGCCACTGTTGAGTAATGGTTCGTATATGAGCTGGTCATCTACTTCCAACTGCTAAACCAGGTGGGGATCTACATGGGAACTCCTGATGGAAAAAATTGTTTAAACCAGCCTGAGTTGATTTGCTGGTTCTGTCTGGTTTTGCTTGATGGCCAGCTGGTCATGACTAGCAAACCAGCGTAGGCCATAACAGGTCTAGCCATGTGACCAAAAGCCCACACTCTTATTGGTTCATCAGATTTACGCACAGTGCTGAACAGGCACATTAACAGCCATTCATCCGAATTAAAATGTCTTTCGCATCAAATTTTCAAACTGAACATTCGTCTTGGTGTGAACATACCTTTAAACCAGTATTTATGTTAATAGCTAATAAATGCCAAGTTGAATACGGCAGACATTTTGTGCAAGGATATTTTTAAAGGTCTGTCCCCATCAGTCAAGACGAGGGCCTTTATTTGTGTGTGGATCTGTTCTTTCTGTGACAGATAGTCATCTGGACAACTGTTGAGAGGTAGGCAGGTAGGAAGGAGTGTGTGTCTGTGTCTGTATGCGTGCCATTCCTGGATGTCTTCCTTGACAGTGTTGGACAAGGTGTAAATCAGGATTGGTGCTAGAAAGAGATAAGTGCTTACCCACAGTCCCCTGGGAGATCTCCTTGTGATGGTGTATGTGACGGATTGGGAAATGCTTACGAGACACCGAGATACGTACACACCTTTAATCCACATGTGAAAGAAGATTTACGGTCCTTGACCTTTCAAGGTCACAATAATGAGAAAAAAAACTAAATTCGGGGCGAATGACTGTAATTATGGAGCTTGAACGAGGTATTTAATACCCACTTGGGGCGTACCGATGACATTATAAGTATCAATTATCGGAATCGGGTCTGATAGAAATCTGTAAATATACAAATACTCTTGACTAATTTCTTTAAGGTTTTCTATACATCCAATTACAGAAACTAATACACCACTATTCTGGGTTTTTTCCCCATACTAGGGGTGTCACAATATAACAGAATTTACTATAAGTTATTGATAATAAGGCAATAACATTTTGGTTGACGCATTTCAACATAGAAGTTTGCAGTATTGCAGCTTAATGCTAGATGCCACCCACGATTAAAAGGGAAAAAAACATAGAAGACACTGTTTGTTGATACTACTGCTGAGTAAAATCAGATCAGACGACAGGCGAAAGCGAGATACTCTACGTGCACCCATGAAAATGTAACTTGCCATTTTTGATTGTTGTCTCCAAAAACTCCCGTTCTGGTGTGCAAAATTTTCTCAGTTGCATGTAGAACATGATATGTTAGGGGCCGTTCACTTGGGTTGGGCCGATAGACGATGCCATCGTCCATCACCGATGTGCTGACAGACATCACGATGTTGAGCCGGCATTGTGATCCATACCCCCCGCAATCTGCCACATCCCAACTCCGTGTTCTGAAAGGAAATTAAGTGTACTACGGAACCCCAAAAGGGAATAAATAGCCTACGAGATGGGAGGATAAATAAAAAAATTAAATACTTTCTCTTGCAATTATATCGTTGGGTAATTATACTTTAGATAAATTGCGGCCATCAGGGAGCTGCTACTAATATGCAGGGCATTGGAACCGCTTTCGAATGCGCGCGCTCATTTTTTTTTTCTTTCACTTTTGAGATTTCTCGTCTTTTGCACCATCTCGCACATGAGAGGCACATTTTTAAACCACTGTGTCAAATTAAAACAAATTAAACTTTTCCATGCAATGCTGCTTACCAATGTCGGTTCCAAAACACTGGACCAATCAGAAGACCCCGGAGCCGGGGCAAGTGTTGCAAGCTTTTGTTTACCATAGCAAGATTCATGGCAGCTGCTTTATTTGATGCCAACCTGGCGGAGGCGGCACTCATAAGATTTTTATTTTGCAAATTCAAAGTCCAGTGCGATATATTTTTATATACAAAAATAGCAACTATCTATTCTGCTTTTTGGCTATTTTCTGTTATTTCCGCTATTACATCACGTCTCAAAAGCACATCTCTAGACCCTCACCATTCCTGAGTGCTGCTTCTCACGATTTTGGACACAAAAAAGCATTATGTTTGAACAGCCCCTTAGACACCCCAATGTGCAGAAAATGGCGATCAACAGTATGTTTTTTTTTTTTTTTGTATGCTTTTGTAAAGTTAATGTTGCAAACTCTCCGCCTCCCTACACTTATGTGATTTATAAAGACAATGTTGTATCATCTCTGGGTAAGCGTTGTTTTGCATTAAGATGTGGGGCCTTAATGTTTCTTTCAGAATGGCTCCAAACTCTAGAGTCCCACATTTGAGATCTTTTCTCCATGGATAGACTTTTTTTTTGCTCAGTGCTCTGGAATTCTCCCCTTTTTTCCTCCAAGCTCTTCATCTCAGCTCTGATCTTTTTCTCTCATGATGTGTGCTGAATTGTGTCAGCACTTGGGCAGTCTTCCCTATGACATCCTGTAGTGCTGTGAAACCTCATGCTGAGAAGTTGATGAGGTGCACCCAGCTTTTATAATATGCTTGTTTTCTTTCCTCTCCATTGCTTCCACTGTTGCCGTCTGTACTTCATCCAGTGCGTGTTGCCACATTAAACTTGGAAGACGCCTGTGTTGATACAACCGTGCCGTATACTTCTCTTCGATGGACTTAGCTTTTAATCAAACAGCTCCATCATATACTGCATGACCTAAGCGCTTCTGAGAAACCAACAGCTAGATGGTGTGAAGTTGAATTATTTTGTTTGGGAAAAAGCCATCTACTCTTTCTACTCCATCCGATATTGTACATTTTGTCCACGTGGAAAAGCTTCTACGGTCTCTTGTGTAGTGTTAAGCACTTGGTATACAGTAGTCAACCTTTGAAGTGGATCTAAAAAGTTCATCAAAGTTGTCTTAAAACAAGAATGCATTTTGGATTTAGGTTTTAAGACAACTTTGTTGAAAGGTTTTGATCCACTTCAAATGTTGACTACTGTATACCTTATATGGATTCCCACTGTGGTTCCTGCTTTGGCTTTTTAGAATCCCTTCCATTAGGGATCTTTGTTTTTAACTTTCATCTCAGCAGGATTACGGTGATAAATGATTTAAACGAGTCCAGTAACTGGGCTGTTAGGATGAATTCCTGGAATAAACCTGCTCACTGAAGCGTGTGGAACAGTGAGTGAATAGGTGTGAGGGGTTAACTTTGAATGCTTATTGCAGCCATGTTCGTTAAGAGGTAATTAATATACATGCCAGCTCTTTGTGTGCAGATAAAGCTGCCTGTCATATAGCTATTGTTTTGGAAAATAAGTGGAATGCTGAAAAATACCTCATAAGTGTATGCTTTATTTTGCCTGATAAAACACGTGCTTGATTCCTGAAAAGTCATATGCAGCCCTATAAACATTGTATATAATACTACCTTTTTTGATACAATTATTGTTATATATGTACATGTATGTAATATATACTGTACATTTTTTTTTCTCTTTTTGTAAAATGAAGATCACATTAAAACTGCGTTCATCAGTAATATTTTTTCTGCTTTTCAGATGTTTTTAATGTATAGGTGTTAATATTTTACCCTGTTCCCAGATCCAGATCTTAAAGGGATAGTCCATCTAAAGATGAAAACCCTCAACATGTTCCAAACCTGTATGGGTTTCTTTCTTCTGTTAAACACAAAAGAATATATTTAGAAGAATATCAATAATCAAACAGTTGATGGTAGCCAATCGACTTCCATAGTATGGAACAAAAACTGTGGAAGTGAGTGGCCATCAACTGTTTGATTACCAACATTCTTCAAACTATTTTTTGAAGTTCAACAGAAAAAAAAAAAAAGAAATATACACAAGTTCTGAAGCAACTTAATGGTTAGTAAATGCCATGTAAATGCAGTAAACAAAAAAATCTAAGTAATGCATGAGAAAATGTCCATTAAGCTTCACAATATCTGTGTTCCCTGGGAATTGAACCCATGACTGTGGTGTTGCTAACACCAGATGAGAAGCATCAACTAACTTTATGTATGTATGTATACATGTGTGTATGTGTTAGTTTGTTTGTTTATTATTATTTATTATTTATTTGTTTTTATTTACTTTTTATTTTTATTTATTATTTATTTATGTAAGCAATAAGGTACGAGAGGCCATGCTGTATTGTGAATAAATCACGGCTGAAGGGCATTGTTAGGCATGATGCGAAGCGGAGTGCCTGCGACCCCTTCAGCCGTGATTTATTCACAATATAGCACCGCCTCGAGTACCTTATTGCTTTTATAAAACGGTTACCGCACAATAAAAATATTAAAAACAAAAATGTATGTATTGATGTGTTACTTTTTTGAAGCAAGTTCCTTAAATGCTGTCCTTCCGCTAAAAATAGTTCCTGAGAGCGACAGTAAACGGCAAGAGAATGTTCTGTTGTAACGTGCCTCATCTAATGGAGCTTAAATAAAAACAGAGAATAGGAGCTATTATCATCCGCTGTATCATTTATTGTTTCTCACACACAAGTTACATCTTATCTCTCAGCATGAGAAACCGTCTGTTTTCCGTCTTTTAGTTTAAAACAGATCGATTCGCGGCTCCGCGCGAGTTTGCAAGCGTCATTACAGTGTAAACTGATGGACATACAGAATCATACCTGAAACCGAAGAATACAGTAATATAAAGTAATATACCGTAAATACATATTGGGGGGGGTGGGGAAGGGCGTGGTCTCAAAATTAAAGATGAAAGATGCAACATAACACCAGCAGGGGTCACTCATACTTCATTAAATAAATAAACAGTTAATTTTGCCCAAATACATAATACACCGAACAGTTTTGACTATATTATTGATTGTTTATGTTGCTAAGGGTGTTGCTCAGTGATACACAGAACCGTTAGGTGAAGCGGTCATAGCCGTGCTGTATCGTGAATAAAACACAGCTGCTGACCAATCAGAATCGAGGAATAGAACTAACCGTTTTATCATTTTATTTATTTGTTTGTTTCTTTGTTTTTGCGTAAGTGGTTTTTATCTGTTTCAATGCAAACTGTAATTATAGTAATATAGTACAGTATATTATAATTATTAATAATAGTTTGATTTCCACCACAACAAACAATTGTATTTATTTATTTATTCTTACTTAAAGAAAACAGTGTCAGTGAAGCGCTAGAGATGGAATATAAAACATGTTATGGGTGAGGAAAAGGAAAAAGCAAAGCACATCAGAACAGAAGAATATTTTCACCAAGTGTTGTTTCTAGTAAAGCTGTACATTTGTAAAAAATAATAATAATACAAAAAAATGTAAAAACTGTGGTGGAAATGACTTCTAGAAAACTGACAGAACTACTCTGCATAGCCGCTGTTAGACATTGTTAGGAGACAAAGTATATGGTCTCCTACTCTAAAACTCTACAGGGGCAGACGTGTCCATAGTTAGAGTAACTTGCCCTATATGGCTAAATCAACTATTTATGAGTTTAATGAGAAGCATTGTTCTTGCCCAAAGGTCAACAAAGGTGTACGAACGTAAAAAAATAAACTGATCGATCAGTGTGTCAGTGAAAGTGTATTCTGTTAATAAGTAAAATGTCCCTGTGCTGTGGCTTAACAAAGGCTTTTGTGTTTTCGTGTCTGTAGCTGTGCGTGAACATTGTGAATGAGCGGATCAGGCAGTTCACCGCAGATGTGCTCTTCCAGCAAGAGCAGCAGGAATGTCTGCAGGAGGGGGTTGCCATGGAGACGCTACGCTCCCTCGGCAACCAGACAGCGGTGCTGGACTTCTTCTTCCAGGTATGCAGTCGGAGCGGCTTTCCGAGAGCTGTGGCGGGAGGGAGGGAGAGGAAAGAAGTTGGAAAGCTTTTTTCCCACCCTGAGGCTGTTGACCCTGTACAAGAGCCCCTCTGTTGCCTCTTTAATTGCCGTCTCTTCATTTACTGACTCAATAACGGATGTCCTCGTTGACTGTTTTATAAAGGCTAACACACATCCAGGCGTGTTGAATTCCCTTAGGTGTCGCAAAGATGTGATAAAGCCCATCTTTTAGACTATGACTCTATTAGCCGTTTGTCAAATGTGACCATTTTATGAGTCACAAAATGACTTCTCCCTTTGGTCAAGACCAAGTGACACAGCATTGTACACACAGAGGCATGTTTTCTCTTGCCACACACACATCTGTGCTCGACTTTACTACATATATTATTCTGTGTACATTTGAATGGGTTTTATGACAGTCTGTTTTAGGCTTTCAAACGTCCTTTATAAACAGCCCCACCAAGTCTGCATTTTTTGTTTGTTTGCAACATTGTTTCTTTTGTTCTGTGTGTTTTTTTTTTTTGTTTTTTTTTGGCATACTAGTGCATTTTAATGTCTTGGAGTTTGAAAATTGTATTAAAGATAGAATTATAGAAATAAAAAAGAATTGTAATCATTCTAACAATAGAAATATTGAATTTGCTTGCATAATAAAATATAAAATACTACACAAAATGCTATAATAGAGATTCATACTCATTATGTCATGCCACACGGATGTGTCAACTACAAATCAAATATTTAATGTCAGCTACAAATATTTAAAGGGATAGTTCACCCGAAAATGAAAATGTTCATGTCGTTATAAACCCGTAAGACCTTTGTCTTGACCTTCAGAACACAAATTAAGATATTTTTGATGAGCTTTCTGACCCTGCATAGACCGCAACATTGAATGAGAAGAAATTGTTGAATAAAGTAATTTTTATTTTCTTTGCACACCAAAAGTATTCTCGTAGCTTTATAAAATTACAGTTGAACCACTGATGTCACATGGACTATTTTAACGATGTTCTTACTACCTTTCTGGGCCTTGGACGTGTGTTACTGCCTATGCAGAGTCAGAAAGCTCTCGGATTTCATCAAACATATCTTCATTTGTGTTCTGAAGATGAACAAAGGTCTTACGGGTTTATAACGACATGAGGGTGATTTGATTGACTGATTTTATTGACTGTTGTCCAGCAGGTTTCCTACATAGCCATGTTAGTTTCAAGTTTTCTCACATAATAGCATAATTTAAATAATTTCGTTTTAAGTAGCTGTGTAATATGCTATAAAATATACACTTAGCTGGTTATTATCATAAAACAAACCACTTCTGACTAAAACGAGGGCCTAGTTTACCCAGTTTATTTTGTGGAGTTGACCGTCTTACTGTACATTATTCCTTCCTTATTTTGCAGCTAAAGCCTTCAGTGTAACTGTGTGTGTGTTACAGAAGCCTCAGGGTGTGCTGTGTATCATTGATGAGGAGAGTCAGTCCCTCAGGCCATGTGAAGTCAACCTTTATAAGCGACTGCAGATACAGCTGGATTCCTCCGGTTTGGACGCCGTCTCCCTCACGACCAAGGATGGCAACGGGAACCCCCCACCCAAAGACCAGGGGCCATCGTTTACCGTCACTCACTACACTGGCAAGGTGGGTTACGGGAAACTGCGAGTTCACACATGCACATGCTGAGTTCACGGTCATGTGCTCAGCCAGAGGCTCACACACAAACACAAACCCATAGTCACACATTTCCGAGAAGCCCTCCAGAGAGTCAATGCACTGTCATGCTGAGAGTGAGGGCTATTATGAGCACTGAACTCATGTGTGTTTGTGTGTCCTTATTGCAGGTGACCTATGACCTGACCGGCTCACTGGACAAGAACAAGGATGTTCTTCCCCAAAACATCTCGTTTGTTATGAAAAGTAAGGATTGGGTGTTTTGTGTTCTAGTCATCCTTTATATGGTCAAAAAACTCACCATGGTAACAGTAGTTCCCATTAAAATAGCTTAGTTACTATAGTTATTGTTACTATAATAAAAGAAAAGGAAATTACAGGAGATCACTTATTAATTCACTACCATACAAAAGTTTGGGGTTTGCAAGATATTTAAAAAAAATTTAAAAGGTCTGTCTTTATGCTCACCAAGGCTTCATTTATTTGATAAAAAAAACTGTAAAAACTGTAATATTGTGAAAAACCTTATTACAATTTAAAATAACATTTTTCTATTTTAATTAGTGCTGTCAAATGATCAATCACGATTAATCGCATCCAAAATAAAAGTTTTTGTTTACATAATATATGTGTGTACTGTGTATATTTATTATGTATATATAAATACACATACACACACACACATGCATGTATATATTTAAGAAAAATATGTAACATTTATATATTAAATATATTTATATATGAATATAAATATATACATGTAAATATTTTCAAAATATACGCTGTATGTGTGTGTATTTATATATACATAATAAATATACACAACACACACACATGCATTATGAAAACAAAAACTTTTATTTTGGATGCGATTAATCGTTTGACAGCACTAATTTTAATATATTTTAAAATGAAATTTATTCCTGTGGTGTCATTAGTCCAGTCTTCAGTGTCACATGATCCTTCAGGATTCTTTGATGAATAGAATTTTCAAAATAACATTTATTTGGAAAACAATATATAAAAAATATATAAAAACACCACTCCAAACTTTTAAACGGTAGTGTACATTAATTTTCAGTTAGTAACATTAAAGCTGCAGTCCGTAAGTTTTGCCTCTTTGTCGCCATCTCTGTTTGAAAACCTGGAATTGCAGCTGTGTGCAGAATTATCTAGCTTGCGTGGGTTGTGAGTCGGCACAGCTCCAGCGCGGATGAATCTAATGTTCTGAAGAGTATGTGTGGCAGTCAGTCGCTGCACCAGTGTGGCTATTTACTGTTCTTCGCAATCACAGATTCTAGCCTACGTCTTGGAATATGACCCAAATAAGAATTTTCATCGTATATTGCCATCTGAACAAGTAACAAGTCTGCCACGTTTATTCTGACCAACTGAGGAAAAAGCATTACCATAAATCTCGCTACCAATGGTGATTAAATCTAAAGATCGGTTAGCTCATATCACATCAAACCGTTCAAATTATTATTATTGTTATACTTTATTCTGAAATGATTAATGTTAACAGCATCAGCATTGGTGACTATGAGTATAGTGTGTATTAGCGTGTAGATTTCAATTTCTGTACAGTCTAATCTAATTGTCATACACTTTGAATTTCATATTAAGAAATTCTTTTAACCCAAAAAGCAAATAATTCTCCCTTCGAACAGTTAAAAAAAAAAAAATACAAATCTTTGTAATCCCAGGCTATCTGTAATCAGAAGCACATTTATAACTAGAATATAATTTAATTTCATTCACATGTGTTTCATAAACACATAATCCTTTATGGATTACAATCCGCCATCAAAAT